AGTCAACTAAACATAACTATTTTGAGGCTCCTTTTTTTAACGCTAAGAATTTAATATCTATCTTAACATTTTTTTATGTTAAGTATAGAAGTGGTACACCCCGCTTTGACATCTTCACACGAATGGTTCGGCTCGCCCGGTGTAATACCACGACCACACAGAAAACAGGCGTGAAGTGGAAGCAATTCCGCGTTTCGTCTGATGAGTGTGGTGCCGGACGCCTAATTTTAGTCCCTTTCCCTTTCCACCCTTATCTTAAGAGGAAAGGATGGATAGGAAAAGTGGATTTAACGGTGGAGGAGACGCATAGGAAAGGGAAATGTCCTCTTTATGTGCGTCTCCTCCTCCGTCAATTGAGGGTAGGCAACGCATCTGTAGTTGCGGATGTTTATGGGCAGCGATTGCTTTCCATTTCGACCGCTTGCTCGTTTGCCACCTTATATAATAAAAAAGAAAAAAAAACATAAAATTTAAGAAAGTATTGAACCTATAGAGAAGTTTTTGGGAAGATTTTAACTGACTAAAAATTTGAAGATTTTAACTGACTAAAATTTTTTTGACTTATGAGTGTTTGCTTCTAAAAATAGTTTTCCAATATTCAGTACAATCAATAATGAGTAGGTGTGAAAGAATTATTTAGTACTTGTTAGATTAATGGAATAAAAGTTGAAGCAATTTCATTACTCGTTCAAAAAGCATTTGTGTAAATTAATAAGATAATGTCGATCAAAGAAATTAATTTACTTTTATACTAACCTAAGTAAAGTTACAAACATAACAAGTTTTTGAAGCGTATTCAGATTTAACTAAATGGTAACATTTTGTTTTATAAAAGAAAATAATATTAAAACCGTTGACCCTTCAAAAAGGAATCGTTATTTAATTAATAAATTGTAACGATGTAATTTCCATCGGTGAAAATAAAGAGGGGAGAAAAAGTAAAATTCGCATTCGAAATTGTTACACAAAAAAACGTTGAATAAATGTTACGTAGCTGAGATGATTTAATTAAAGCAATAGTTAATTAATTAATTTCGGTTCTGTTCGAACTTCGGCAAAGAACGATAAAATAATTAAATACGTCAAAATTGTAGAAAGCCAATTGTTCTTCGATATTAATGATGGAATAAGGCATCATTTGGTATACCTGAACCTGTTTGATTTATCGATATTTTATATTAAGCAAAGTAGTTTTTCTTCTGTATTTTTTTAACACATTTCTTAATGATTTAATTTTTTTCCTTAGATTTTTTGTATACTAATAGTGCAGACAGTTTTAATGTTTTGGCTCTCTGATTTTTTATTTAAATTAAGAAAATTATGATCTGTGTAGCGATTCTTACGATGGTCAGGATGTTTGCGATGCCAAATAAACAATTGAAAAACGCTGATGAGTGTTGCACCATTTCTCACAATACTTGTATTATAACAGTAATCGCGCTTGTTTCTAAAATAAAACACGGTTGACAACATGTTTAACATCAGTGGAAACTCACTTGCCAATATTGACATAGATCTAATGCGTGTAGAGACAGCCGCGGCCGTCAACTATTCGGCAGCGGGCAAAGTTGCGTTATTATGACAGTTGGCGAACTCCATTAATTACAGAAATTACCGCGTTAATGTAATTCATAGCCTGTCTAACTGTTACGACAACAACCGCGATATTACATTGACGTAAATGATTTTTGAAACATATTTTGCTTACATGAAAAAATATCTAGTAAAAAAAATTAAAGACAAACAAACGAGTACAAAATGTATGTAATTTTCGCTTAATGTATATTTATATTAAAAACTTAAGATTTACTGCCGCGTTAGGAATAATTAAAAGAGTCAATAAGTTGGAATTATCATATTTTATTAACTAATTTATTTTACGCTCATTAAAAGAGAGAAATTTTATTCTTATGTTATTATTTTTTAGTTATTTTTACAGATATTTCGTTCATTTTAATAAACATTTATCTATAATAGTACAAAGAACTGTAAATTCATTGTTAGCGAATTAATATTAAAACAACATCGTCAAAGAGATATTCGCCTTTTGACGTCAATTGTTAAGTTTATTTAATTATTTCTATCTTTAGTACTAGACTTAATGCTATTTTATTATGAAGTAAGCTGGAATGTGATTATTTTTTTATTTTACTTCAATTTTATAGAATAAATTAAAAATATTACCTAGGTTCTTATACATTTGTTAATCGCAAATTTTTAGTGGTACGTATTTTTTACAATTATTCTTCTAGGAACCAAATGTATACCATACACGTAATTGTGTTAAAAATCGACACAGTAACAGATAAACTAAAAAAATATACTAAAACGGTCTCAATTTTTTAGCCTTTAAAGAGCTACATTATTAATGAGAAAATATTTATTACTAGATGTTTGCTTAATTTCGCACAGACGAAATCTGACAAAAACAGGGCCTACATACATAATTTTAACAGCTACACAATTTTTTTTAAACTCATAGGCGACCATTATTAATATTAGGCTGATTCACCATGTCAATTATAAACAACGAAGAAATGAATTTAAGACAGTATCAATCTCGAGCAACCACTTTACAGTAATCTTGTTTCCTCAATAACTTAAAAGGTCTGATTAAATACCGCCTTGCGAAGGAATTTGTGAGACCGTAAAAGTTGTAGCTCTGTTCACCGTTCACGTCCGTTAACAACGGTCGTGTCGCCGAGGAAATTCTTTGTTTATTTAACACAAAGTAACAACTCAACTGAATTTAAAAAAAAAAGCCTCTCCATTTACTTTGAACTTATTAATGACTAAGCGATTATCTTTTTTGTGATTTGCTTTTTTATTTAAAAAAATCTAGAACTATGATTAGTTAATCGATAACGATAAGAAGTGAATGGATTTTTCTGGATTATTCCCAACCGTCATCCCGCTCTGTCTCCATTTGCGAATAAAAACTTTCATCCGTCCCACTGATTAGTCCAACTATCGCCAAAAAGGTGACAGATGGAACCGTTACGAAATAAAATGAGTTCCAACCGTCAGCTAGTCGCAAAAGACGGGACGGATGAAACTTTTTATTCTTAGATGTCTCCACAAGGGGACAGAGCGGGGTGACGGTTTTGAATAATCCGTTTTTCTGGTTTAATTAGGATCTAATGCGTTTATAACTTTACATTTTTAATAGAATTTGAATAACAATAAACATTTATTTTATGGTATCATGCATTTTTGTTAACACAAGCGAAAAACTTCAAGCTCTTGATAGCACTGAAATACAATAAAACATTTTAAAATTGTACATTGAATCATTTTGTCCATCTGTATGTTAAAATGCAAGCTTTCAGTATCCTATTCAATTGTCACATTAGACAGGTATCAGATATTGGAATAAAAGTTTAGTAAAATGTTATAATTGAAACTCGATGATGGATACGAGTTTTAAAAAAATATTCATGTTTGCTTTATGTTTTTGTTACGTCAGGATTAAAACATTTTTTGAATATATTTTACACTGAACTTTCAATTATTTTCACCTAACATCGTAATGCCAGTTAGTTTTATATTTTATAAAAATGGAACCTTGTTATTTCGATTCAATTTCAACTAAAGCAAATTGTTAACTTAGACATTATTAAAATATAGACAAGTTGCAAAAGCTTGCGTTTACTATCAATTACTTGTAATAAAGACGAATTAAAATGTAACAAGAATAATCATACTAATAATACTTACTAAAATAACAAATGCGAAAGTTTAGATGGATGGATGATTGTTAGAGTTTATACATTAAACGGCTAAACGGATTTCGATGATATTTGGCATAGACGGAGAGGATAGTCAGGAAGAACACATAGGTAACTCACTTTTGTTTTATTTAATTCTACACGTCCGGAGTTGCGGGCGAAAGCTAGTACTTCATAAAATTCCATATTGTGCTTTCGCATTTCGATTTTAATTTTCATACCTTTGACAATTTCATTCGCATACTTCCAAAATTAATACAACTTCAACCAAAATGACAAGTAATGTGATAAATTTAAAATTGTATTTAAAATCGTTTAAACCTTTCGCATTTTAATCAGTTTTCCCTCCGTACCATTGTTCGATATACAATAAATCTCTCGAAGGAAATACTATCAATTTAAGCATAACAGTCAATTTATCTTTACTTTAATGTGTTAACCAATTACGAATCATATCAGATTAATTAAAAGTTTGTTATTACTTGAACGATTGCTTTTAATTTTATTGAAGTTAATTTTTGTTGTAATTTATTTTTACGAAAATATAAAGTTAATTTCTCTACTGCTCAGAGTCACTTAATAACTATTTTAGCGTTGATTTCTCTTTTTAATCCTACACTGAAGAGAGGAGAATCTTACTTATCTTACTAATATTATAAATGCGTAAGTTTAGATGGATGGAAGTTTGTTAGTGTTTGTAGCCTAAACTGTTGAATGTATCTCGATGAAATTTGACATAGACGTAGAGGATAGTCTGAAAGAACACAAAGGCTTTTTCTTTCTTTTGTTTTTATGGTCGAAAGCTAGTCTTTCATATTGGAATTAAAATGTTTATAATACCAAATTTATGCGCTAGTTTAATGATATTGATCTGCATTTTTTTTCAATATCAATATAATTAGGAGCTACCGAGCGATCTTAGTCGAGTTCATTTTCTACAGTAATTTAGATGAGTACTGGTGGGAATGGAAAACAGGAAATTGTTTGAGACAGCACGAGAAAAATCTTGTTTACTCATAGTCGGGCCAAACTTTAAACTGAATCACCTCCGGTACAATCAAATGCTTATCTGCATTCGCTACGACGGCTCCCACGAATGTAATTGCTATTTATTCCGAGAGCTTTTTATATGTATTATTGAAACCACCATAAAATGATCCTTTTATATGATTGTTACCATAATTAATTATTCAAGCACTAGAGGTTTTAATATATTAGTTTGTATTAACAGGTTATGAGACATGTCTTATAAGTGAAATTATTTGTTGTCAGGTTGGCGCAACTATGATGTCCTGTCCCTTGCCCCTGCCGCTGCTGCCGGCTTTGCATCCACAACCAACGCTGACGTCGGACTTCCCTATTCACATCGGCATAAAGGTGAGTTTTCTTTCGCAAATTGTTTTTGTTTTCTTCTGTTATGTTGATGATCATTTTTGATAGTGTAATTGTATTGTCATCACAGAATGTTATCAAGTATCAAGAATAGTGGTCGCTCTAAGCCTATTTATTAGAATTAAAATATTATTACTTAAAATTATAATGTACTTTACAATTAGACCATCAAACATTTTTGCAATCTAGTATGCCATTTGAGTAATTCTTTGTTTAGGTGACACATTCTCTACATTTTAATTATAAGCCGATTTTAATCATGTTTTAATAATTTTACTATACCTGTATAATAAGCGTCAATAGCCATTAGGCTACCATTAGGTTTGGGTTACGGACTACTGATCTTACAGTCTAGGGTTCGAATCCCGCCATTCGACTATTGTCGTAAACCATATCCTAGCACAAGCCTAGAGCTTAGTTGGAATGGTTAAAGAAAATATTAGTAAATTAACAAGAATCTTCTAATATTTCCTTTAACGTGTTCAAGTCGCTTTTATTTTTATTTTTTTAACACTTCATGTTTACGGCCTAAAGTCGTTTCCTGTCGTAGGTAAGTCGAAAAAAAATTATAATTTAATCCTGCCGGCTCCTCCGACGAGTTTCAGACAACTTAAATTGCGAATATATCAAAGCTAAATAATATAAAGTAAGCAAAGAATATAGGGTAACTTTCCTTCGACGCTCCAGTGTAAAGGAGAGTACACACTGTTTGCTTTTAATGTCAACTCTTGTATATGAGTAAATATTTTTACGGAATTTAATATTTATTCGGAAATCAGATATTCAATTGATTTTTATAATTTACCGATAAGTAGATACATTAAAGTTTCAATATGTATTTTTATATCTATTTCTCTTAGTTACTTTTGGAATTTAAAAAGCCAACATATCAGTAACAATAACCTTAACAGTAGGCTAAGACAACTAAAATCATAACGATTAAAAAAGAAATCTATTTAAAATTACTGATACAGTTGCTATTTGTTTATTTTATCTAGTATCACCTTATGATAAAATAAAATATATTTAAGAAAAACAACGTCGTTTACTTGAGTACAGCTAAAGTCAAAAAGTCACCAACATAGCCGATCAGGCAGTCAGCCAATGCAAACATTGGAGATGAACTTCTGCTCAATTACCTTTGCGAGTTAAATCGTCTTAATTTATAAGTAGATATCGATTCCTTCTGTCGACTTTAATTAGTTTCTAGATCGGAGACGCGCTTCGTTTGTCTCATTTTAAAAGCTCCGGCTCCGGGACAACAAACTTCTTATTCCAATCATTTTGATTAATTCAAAGAATAACCCTTTGGATTAAAAACAACATGTTTAAGTAAAAACTGTTTCTATAATGAATGCTATACCTCTATACTCTCGTTTAGAAAGAACTATGGAGAGCTATGTAATAAATTTACTACTCCAGTTTTTAAAAAATTATTGCATAGAAAATGTTTCATTACTCAAACATAAATGTACCCACGACTCCTCATCTCCCTAGTGTTTATTTAGTAAATGTCATTACTCTGTTTTAACATAATTTCGGCGTTGATTCAATTTTCGTCAACGAGAGTCATATTTCAGTAGTCGCGGGCGGAGATTTCAATTCATACATATTTGAATAAATAAATATGCATGAAACCAATTTGTAGAGGCCGTACCGTTGCCTATGGCCGGCTAGTCTACGATATCATTTGCGGACCTCGCTACTGGCTACAGATGAGCTACGCGATTCGAATGAGCCTCGTAGCGGTCTACGGCGCTCAAACGTAGAGCGCGTTCTAACTTCAATGTTTCGTGCAACCTTGTTATTGTTTGTATGGTACGTCCTTTGTGCAGATCACGAGTTAAACGATTACGTACATTTGCATGCAACGTAGTCCACTACAAGGGATGTTGTTGTGTTCTCTTCAACTGAATTTACTATAGACAAGGTGTGAAATTGAATGAAAATTCAATTGCCTACGATCGACGTAGTAAGCATATATTTAGTAAAATGGTATTTAATATACTATCCATTGCTTTAAAATACAAATAAAAAAACATGTTTCCAATTGACAGTAACATGAGATAAAGTTGTAGAATAAAATAGTAATAATGTAAAGAACATAACGTACTGACTAAACTATATCGATGAAATATTTTTTTAAGATTGTTGCAGTAATGTAGTATCTAGGTCAGATAGTAACTAAAACACGATAAGAATGTTTTCTCGCAATCTGTTGAAATGAGATGTTTTCTTTTACACGAGAATTTCTCGATTTTTTCCGCGCCGAGCTGTAAGTTCTTAGTATTGTTAATTTGTTTTTAACAGGGTATTTTCTTTGTTATTTTTTGTGGATAATCACAAACACTCGTATGTTTGCATTGTAATTAATTATAATCTGATATTTCCTTATATCAATATTTTATTATCTGTTAAGTAGACTAGTTAATAGTTGTTAGTGGTGGGAATAAGGTGTTTTAATCCATCGAAATGTTTATAATTAAAATTTACTAACAATTAGAAGTTCATAACTTATCTTTATCAATCAATTTTCCTCGTTTTACATATTAATATATTGTAGTGAGTGGTAGCACTGTACTTGGTAAAATTAAACATTATGTATTTCGATTTATTTATCCAAAATGTTTTAATTATAAATTAAACAGCAAAGTTGAAACCAAGGCTTTCATTTATGGTACAAGTTATTTATTTAGTTTACGTTCCAAAACATAAAACAAAGAGGGTTTAGGTATTTGTAACCTTGGATGTTGTTTAAGACAATTTTAATTATTCCGTATTAAATTTCCTTGATCCTTTCTGCGGGGCATAATTCTACTCTTTTAATGTCGGACTTAGATGAAAAAGGCAATAATGGCATATTTCTATTAAATTCTTGACCTTAAAAAAAATTGGGTTTACCCGTTATGTAAACATATATATAATTAGAATTCAATAAGCTTATTTATTAATTAAAATGATAATAAAATGATACAAAATACAATAAACACAGTTAATTCATTATAGTAGTGGTAAATGAATAACTGAGCACAAACGAACCCTGAAACCATTAAACACATCACAAACGATAGCTTAAACTCTCGTGTAGTTCCAAAACCATTCGGGGATCAAATTAACCGAGCTCTTTGAACAGGTAACGTGAGAAGCACTAGCGACCGCACGCCGCTTGCCTCTGACGGATGAAATGAAAGCCTCTATAGGTAGATGCCACATGAGCGGTGCGGCGTCGCAGTAACGCTATAGAGTTTTACAATACAAATCGAAAGCTTTTAGTGAATTCAAGTACATTTTTTTTAAACTAACCGTGCAATTTAACTAGTGAAATAATTGTATAAGAAAACGAATTTTTAATAATAATAATTGGTTTTATCTCAAAGACAAAGGCACTGACGAAAAACGTTAAAATCATCAATGTATAGACGAACTACCTCCAGTGTGGCATGTCTATTAGGATTTAAATTTGTAACGTTTCATGTGCTTTGCTATTTTGAACTTCGCATTATTTACTTTTCAGTGGCAAGAGCGTTTCACCCGATAGTTTTATTCAAAGTACCTAACCAACTATGCGTTGCTTATTGTTGTCTCGAATTTAAAATGTAGAAATTTAATATTTTACACTAAACTATACGTTTGTTGACTTCTTACATTCCAACTTTCTAACAAAATGGTCCGTTTTCACTAATATCCGAAATTATACAACCTAAGACTCATTTTCATCATAAATACAAAGTAATATTAAGAAACATCGGATGGATCTTTTCATCATTGCTAACGAGAAGCGACGTCGCGGGCAAAAAAAAAGAGCTTCTAAATGTTATGGTGACGTCACAACACGTTAAATAACGGGCATTATCTGGCCTACAATATAAACGTCGCGACCTGCGCCGCAATAACCGACGCCCCAGGATAATGGCCGCCCGTCCGTCATCTTTCACGGGAACAGCTCGTCTCATAGTCGATATTTTTTTATATTACACCTCTCATTATGTCGCAAGTATCGATTATAAGGTAATTTCTCTATTAATTTTGTTATCCAATTAATAAACCTTCAAAGCTTATCATTAATTACAAACGATAATTTTTAAATTGTGAGATTTGTAATTTTAGGTTGCTTATAAAAATACATTTCAAAACTCAGACAAATGGACCGCGACTTACCGATTTACTCCTATGCCACAATTCACACAAAACGACAATTTCTTTATATCTATTCCCATAACAGACGCGTAATGTAGGGCTTTTTTATTAAAGGAAGTATGATTCAAAAATATGCTGTGATTGCTGACATCCTACGCCACAAAGTAGTGTGAGGAGGCCCAACTTTAGTCCCTTTTCCTTCCCACTTTTTTTCTTGTACAAAAAGGATGGGAAGGGAACGTGGATTTGACGGTGGAGTAGACGCATAGAAAGGGGAAAATCTTCTTTATATGCGTCTCCTCCGTCGATCAAGGGTAGGCAACGCATCCGCTATAGCTAATGTCTATGGTCAGAGGTCGCTTCGCCATTTTGGCGGATTTTGGTGGCCGCTTGCTCGTTTGTCACCTCGTAATATAAAAAAATGAAACAAAACAAAAAGGTTACACTTTATTATACTAGTACAGGTTGTACCGCTAGTTAAACTGTTTAAATTATTATTGTCTTTGTTACGTTGATGAGGCGTTATTATAATTAAATAAAACCATTTTCAATAGAAATAAGACCGCATCATGGTCGGCACAGATAAATATGTAGCCGTTACGTATAATCGGCAATAACCGCTATTATGCTTAGCGAAATTGCGTTGTATCTAATAACAAACAATCTGAATGTTGTACCGTCAGAACATTTAATTTCCATTGTCCGGTTATTGCACAATTAAAGTAAGAGATTATAGCATTTACGGTAAACAAATGATTTGTAAATTCAATGTTGTTAAAACTGCTTATTGAATTTGTACAATACAATGGCCGGTTGTCGCCAAATTCTATGCAAACGCCCATTCTCTT